TTGAGTAGAAAATAATGAGCTGGTTTAGGTCCTTTCAAGGGATTTTGTTACATTAACAAAAACATAAAATTTTTGTCTAGTCAGCAGGGGGGCCCATGTTGTGGAAAGGCTGCAGTATCATTACTACTTGGTACTTTACACAAAAAGTGGAGACAATTCTAATTTCTGCTTGACTTCTTGACTTAGTTAATCTGATGCTGTGAACACAGAACCTCCCTATTCAAGTTTTGCATATTTTATATGAGAACTGATGAGTCAAACTCTTGTGACCACAGCTCCACATAGACAGTTGCAGCAACAGCAACCACCACCAGAGACTGCTGCTAACACAGGAAGAAGAAATTACAACTCCACTTATGAAATTAGGCTTGGTGATTAAAAACCACTGTCTGTATTGAACTCCTGAAAGTCACAGCAAACACAAGGAGAGAAGAGAGTCAATCAGCTCCAGGGTTTACATGGAACGTCCCCAAGGAGAAATTCAGTCCAAACTTGAATCAAAGCGTGCTGATGACTTCTTATGTGATGTCCTTCTGTCTGGGGGGCCTGTGAACGTTCCTGACCACACACTTCACCATCCACTCAATGCCTTCGTTCACACCATCCCTGCATGAGAACAAATGTTAAGTAAGTAATTTAAGCTACTATATGTTCATGTTACATGCTGAAGTGGCCCAATCCTTTTTTACCCTTCAAGTGAGTCAGATCTGATCTTTTCACAGATGTGTGAACAAGCCAAATCAGAAGTCGTCAGATCAGATCTGAGCCACTTTCATATGTGCTCCTAGATCAGACTTGTATCCTATCAGTGATAAAAACAGAGGAGAGTGACAACAGTTTAGGAGCTCAACAGTGTTCAGAGCTGGGCATATGTCACTTACACACAATATGAACTATCAACACAAATATCAAATTTGACTTTAAAAATAAAGAAAAACATTTTTGAATTGAACATCCAGGTCTGTCATGTGAAAGTAGGATTTCAAACTTCTTCTGAGCAAGTACATAGAAACAGTTGAACTCAGAGATCAAGGAAATCAGTAAGGCCCCTAGTCTTCCACTGGCATGGTATAACAGTCTACGTGCCACAGAAAGACCAGTGATGGTATCTACTATGCAGATGATTAGGAATAATAAGCTGGAGGGGCTGTCTCAGTCCCCCGTCAGTTTAGCTTCAGTTTGTTTGTAATATTTCAGCTCACCAGTGAGATCCCTCAGCCTCCTGACAGACCTGAGGACAAACACTCGCTTCATCAGCTTCAAAGATGTTCCTACTACACTATCTTATTATCTCCTTTTATTTTGTGGCTTATATACCATATTCGTATGACACATCAAAGAGTCAAACACAAAACATGACCACTCAAGGGTCTGGGATCAACAGCATGGTAAGAGAAGAGAAGCTTTATTTTATTATCATTTTAACATGTACAACGAAAGTTTGTTTGGAGCCGAGGGGCCCCGGGCCACTGTGTGCGTACGCGCCGCCATCACGGGCAACTTGGGGGTTTCAGTGTCTTGCCCAAGGACACTTTGACATGTGGACTGCATACACCAAGAATCGAACCCTCAACCTTCCGGTTAGGAGACAACTGCTCTACCCACCGCACCACTGTCGCCCCCTCAAAAGCAGGTGATCATATAATGTTGTAAACAGTTGTAGACGTGTAGATACACTCCAATTTGGCATAACCCTGACTTTCAAATTCATAATAATCCCATCTACGTTCCAGGAATCACTCACCTTCATCATCTATTTGAAAACAACCAGTTTATACCATTTAATACATTAGTCCAGAAGTATGGAGTTGGGAGAGGAGAATTTCTCCAGTACCAACAGTTAAAATCCATAATTAAATCAAAGACCAATATAATCAACAACCCCCTGCAACCTTCCATGCTAGCTGAGGAGATAATGAAATTCACAAACTCAAAGAAGCTAATATCCAAACTTTATAAATTGATGTCAAATACAGATACAACAATAACAATACCAATGACCAAATGGGAAAAGGATTTGTCGCTGTCCCCCAGCCCCGACTTCTGGACCAAGATTTGTAATATCTTTTCCATGACTATCAATATAAACTTACACCTTATACAATACAAGACTATTCACAGGACTCACATCACACAAGGTAAAATGTTTAAAATGGGTTTCACTGATACAGATACCTGCTCACAATGCACTTTGGATTGCGCCGATGATTACTTCCATGCTACTTGGACTTGTCGACTCCCTCTGGGTAGTGGTGACTAAGAAACTCTCAACCATCTTGAGCTTTAGAATCCCCCCATCCCCATCACTCTGCCTGCTCGGTACCACCTACCAATTAAATATAAAAACCCACTTCTTATCTCTAACTATCGCCAAGAAAACAATCTTTCAAAACTGGAAATCTAAAAATTCATTACACATCAACCACTGGAAAAACCTTCTTATAAAATATATCACACTAGAGAAAATAACCACCCATAAGAATAATATACCAACCTTTACTGACACTTGGAACCCACTTTCAACTTAAACCACATGCCTGAGGCCACGCACATTCCCACCAACTCCTAGAAATATAACAAGCTGCTTTTTACTTTATTATTGTTACTGTCATTAGTCAACATCGTCCATGCTTCTGTTTTGAATGTCACACCTATCAATCAAACCAAATTAACTGGGAATATTACCTACCATTTTTTTCCTCCTCTTCTCTCTTTCTAATCATTTACCGATCTGTTAATTTCATTTATTTTTGTTTTATGAATGTGTTTACATATATATCTGAGTGTATATATAAGTATGTGAATGGAAAAGTATATAGTATATGATTGATATTGCTTTGCTTTTTTTTCTTTTTTCCTTTCTTCTTTATTTTATTACTACAGTCAATTTTCTATCAAATTGTATTTTCATTCCTTTACATTTATACCCCCTCCATTTTCCTAATTTATTTGGTTTAATTCTATTTTCCCTTAAGTAATGCATATCAGTCTGCATAGAGTTGGATACACACACACTTTCACACACACACAACTTAATACCCTCAATTAATAATTCCTTTGCCTCTTTTGTTAAGGTCTCATGCACTATGTTATGTGCTTTGTCTTATAAATGTGTTATTTTGTGTTACAATTTAAAAAAAAAAAGTTGTAGACAGCCGCTTCCAGAGGAAAAAATACAACATATTAATACTCATCCAAGTCATAATTTTGACTTGGCGTCATTTTTTTCATTATCATCTATCAGCTTAATATTAATAGCCTAACTGTATTTTCCCCCCTTCTCCTAAAGAAAATGTTTTTTTCTAGTCATCAAGTGTTTACACCTTGTATTTTTATCCAAATTTAGACTGAATTTATCATAAAACAACATATGCTATGTGCAGTAACTCAAAAGGGAGTTTATTGCATTTACTATTACAATTACAATTTACTACCAGTTTTGTAATCCAGTTGTGGAGCAACAAACACTTAAAACTGTGTTTAGCGTCATCTTCAGAAAATTAACACTGTAGGCTTCACAAAGGTTGGTGTACTGGATGACATCGGACAGACTGCTGTTGTTGCACATGGTTAGTGTACAGTGTAGCAGACTTACCCTGTGAGAGCAGTACAAGGCTGGACTAAACAGTCTCTCTTGCCGATCTTCGGGGCACAGTCACTGAAGGCTGTTTTAATGTCTGACACTGACAAACAGTTCTGAGAACAAAGGAGATGCGACTTGACTGAAAGTTACAACACAAGACAGCAATGCAAATCCCTGGAGAATATTTTGAGATGAAACAATCAGTCAAGCTACACAATGTTCACCTGTTTCAGCTTCTCAAATGTGACTAATGTGAATAATTTTGTGCTTTGCTATGCTGATCAGAGTTTGAACACTGTCATCGGCATTTCCCACCTTATACTGAAAGTGCTTAAATCAAGAAATAAGGATTTACTGCTAATGGAAAACAAATGTTAGCTGCAAAAATAGTTAGTTGTACAAAAATAAAGAACAATGCTAATCAAAAGCCCTGAGGTAACACTGCTCACCTTGTATAACCAACAGTCAAATAGATTTTCAGTTTACATGGAAATAAAACAGAGAGAAGCAGCAGTCACATCTTTGAGAAGCTGGAACCAGAAAACACTGTACTTGACATTTCCACTTAATATATGACTCAAAAGCCTTCATCAATAAAGTGAGTGGATGTAGGGTAAAGAAACACAGAGCAATTTGTGTTTTTAAAATCATCATCATCTATGAATGTGAACGTGTTATAAAGATCATACAGTACCAGGACATCCTGCTTGTTGGCCAGCACGAGGAGTGGAACACCTTCTAGTACCTCACTGCTTATCATTTTCTCTGGAGGAGACATGAGTTGCCTGACTCAACAACCAGAAGACAATTCTTTAAATCACACAATACTGATAAAGGTCTGTCTGGTAAAGGCTTTTTCGTTCACTGGTATGTTATCCATATTTTTCTCATAACATTCAACAAAGCATTCACCACAAATACCTCATGCTAGTGAGAATAACCCACTGGCCAATATATTAAGACAATAAGTGGAGTTAAGTTTAACTAAATTTAGTTGATTTAAACACAAATACATACACGAGATGAATGAGTGTGTTTCTCACCAAAGGCCTCCTTTGATTCGGACAGACGCTTGAATCTATCACATAGATGACTCCATGGGACTCAGCATAGTACTGTATATTAACACAAGGAATACAAACAGAACATCAGAGCAGGCTCCCAGCTTAAAGTCAACTCAACTTTATTTGTGTAGCACTCACTGCCAGTCTAACAGTGACTCAAGGTGTTTTACATACAGGACAGACAATAGTGGCCTAACGCGGCCTCTAGTGATTTTCTCGCTTTAAAATTTCACGCCATTTTGGCAGTGTTGAATGAATGTAGCTCAAATTTGCCACAAGATATTCATTTTTAAAAAGTGTAAAAATTGTGGTCTTGCTTCCTTAAAATTGCCTAAAAGGGCTAAGAACCAATATAACTGCACCCTGGAGTTGTTAGTGGCAAAAATTGCCACATTTAAAACCATTCAAATGCTAATTTAGATTCCAAATTTAACCTAATATAGAGTACTGCAATGCACGATGTTAGAAATGCATTTTGAATTACTGGGTGCCAACTTGTAATTTTTATAGTTGTCCAGCAGATGGTGACACAAAACCATTTTCAAACCCTGCAGCAAAATTCAGCTACATTTCCACACTTTTTCAGTTTTTTGCAAGGGCGCCTTGCTAATGACTGAAAATGATGGTGTGTATCATTATCCATGTTATATCATGCAGCTTGTGTGCATGTGTGCGTAAATGTACGTAAATACGTTCGCGCGCACGTGCACGTCGCATAATGTCGGCTTTCATGGAGCTGCTAATTTTAGCCAGCGTCTGCAGATCAAACAAATGAATCAACCATCAGCTTCTGGAATGAGAAATCAGGAGGGAGCATTTTCTGTGCTATGATGTCACACAAGAGGTGTTCCCACAACAACAATCTCTCGCGCCAGTGCGTAAAATCTACATTATGCGTTGCACGCACTGCTTGCAAACATGGGTCAGCCCAGACTGCAGCTGCAGGCTTCTCTCCCGTCAGTAAATGTCAAGGAAGGAGTCCGATTTTGTCACTGACGACAACAGATGGTGGTGGTGAGCACACGTAAGCTGCCTTCCCCTAGTCCACTGTGACCGTTTGCTCTGCTTGAGTGAGACAGGGAATAAGGATAATAACCTTTATTTGTATGTTACACACACAAGGAATTTGTTTTCCTGTACAGAGACATACATTATCTCTTTCTCTGTGTCACTGTCTTTCAGTATTCATCATTCTAGGGAAATAGGCGATCTATGTCGGTAGTGGAAAACTGGATGGTTTCTGTGTAAATCTGCCACTACAAAATACAAAACAATGCATCAAAATCACTTGCTGCTAATCATTGACCCATCTCAGGGTCTAATAATAATAATAATAATAATAAAATGCTGGTTGAAATGTATTTTTTGGAAATTATTTTAGTTCCCCCCCAACCTCTCGGTGTGGATATTTCTGTACTGAATGCAGCTGATAGTAGCTGAACCTCAATGTGTGAAAGTCGCATATTAGTTTTTCAAGTGCAGTAATGCACAATGCCTGTATTCTAAAAAAAGTGGATCTGTGTTATTGTACTCAAAAACCCCTTATGAATAGAAATCAATCAAGGACCGTGACGTCGCCCAGTATGGCGCAACCGGGGCCCCACCCTGGAGCCAGGCCCGAAGTTGGGGCTCGAATGTGAGCGCATGGTGGCCGGGTCTCCCCTCACAGGGCCCGGCCCGAGCAACGTGGGGACGCCCTCCCATGGGCCCATCACCTGCAGGGGGATCCATAAGGAGCTGGTGCAGAGTGGATCGGCATCAGTCGAAGGCAGGGGCCCCGACGACCCGATCTCTGGACGCGGAGACTAGGCCTGAGACATGGAATGTCACCTCGCTGGTGGGGAAGGAGCCTGAGCTTGTGCAGGAGATTGAGAGGTATCGGCTAGATATAGTCGAGCTCACCTCCACCACAGCTTGGGCTCTGGAACCTTACTCCGAGAGAGGCTGGACTCTCAACTACTCTGGAGTTGCCCGCGGGGAGAGGAAGCGGGGCGGGGG